CCTGTAGGTGTTAATGGACTTGAGTGTTCATTCGCTGTACTCTATCCCCTCATGAGTGCCTTTAGGGCATGTATGGCTGGGGAAACCCCTTAGTATGTTCATCAGCTATATGAAAAAAAAACCATTGACATGTATTGCGGGGGGAACTCCCATGGGAAATACCGTCGATAAATAAGAGCTATGGACTTAGCATGTGGAAAACCCATTGACATGTATTGCGGGGGGGGGGGGGGGGGAACTCCCGTGGGAAATATCGTCGATGAATAAGAGCTATGGACTTAGCATATGGAAAACCCATTGACATGTATTGCGGGGGGGGGGGGGGGGGAACTCCCGTGGGAAATACCGTTGATGAATAAGAGCTATGGACTAGCACGTGGCGACGATGTGACTTCGTGCCTATTTGACATAAATTGATGAAGGAAAGCAATGTTGTCACCTCGGTGTTTATCTTATTTGACATATATTGCAGAGGGAAGCAATGTTGTCACCTTGTTGGTTGCTTTATGTTAGGATGTCTTGTTTGACATAAATTGCTGAGGAAAGCAGTGCTGTCACCTCTTGTGAAAATCCTTAGGCTGGGTCCCTTGTGATAGTTGTTTTAGGGACATAAAGTGAGGATAATGGGAATGGGTAATTAGGGTTTTTTGGTTGATGAGATTAATAAATTTATTGTTGATTGAGAACTTAATAAGTTTATTATTTATTGTGGGTTGAAAACCCTGTATGCTCACTAGGCTCCCAAGCCTGACCCACTCAGTTTAATTGTATCACAGATATCGATACGAAGTTGCTTTACACTGAAAGATTAAAAGAGAAGTAGATCACTAGTGTAAATGAATGTAAGTTTTGTTTATGCTTATGTTTTTGTATTGACAATGACATCCCAATGGTTTAAGTGAATAAAATACATTTCTTCGGAAATGATTTGATAACATATTTATCATGTTTATCTGGGAACAAATTCCGCAACACTTTTAATCAAATGATTACTCTGAAATTATTTTAAAAGCATAAATTAAATCAGTCTTTTCTGGCCGTGAAATCGGGGATGTCACAAGTGCCTCCCGAACGAAAAGTCGAATTCAGAATCGACTTAATCCCTGGGGCTACCCCTGTAGCCAAATCCCTCTATCGTCTTGCACCTTCTGAAATGCATGAATTATCCAGCCAGCTTAACGAACTCCTTAACAAGGGTTTCATAAGACCAAACTTCTCACCCTGGGGAGCACCGGTTTTGTTCGTAAAGAAGAAGGATGGATAATTCCATATGTGCATAGACTACCGCGAGCTGAATAAACTTACCATCAAGAATCGATATCCTTTGCCTCACACTGACGATCTGTTTGACCAACTTCAAGTTGCAAGCTACTTCTCGAAAATAGACTTAAGATTCGGGTATCACCAGTTACGAATTTTTGAGGAGGACATTCCCAAAACCGCGTTCAGAGCTCGTTATGGTCATTACGAGTTTGTAGTGATGCCATTCGGATTGATGAATGCACCTGATGTGTTCATGGACCTAATGAACAGAGTGTGTCGTCCATTCCTAGACAAATTCGTCATAGTCTTCATTGACGACATCCTTATCTACTCAAGAAGCAAATAAGAGCATGGCCAACATCTTCGTCAAGTATTACAAACTCTGAGAACCGAGAAACTTTATGCGAAGTTTTCAAAATGTGAATTTTGGATCCGGAAAGTAGATGTCCTAGGTCACGTGGTTAGTTCAGAAGGAATACACGTGGACCCTTCCAAAATCAAGGGAATTGAGAACTGGTCAGCACCCAAAACACCTACAGAAATCCGACAATTCTTAGGTCTTGTTGGCTACTATCGCAGATTCATCCAAAATTTCCCCCGAATCGCTAAACCGCTTACCACCCTAAAAGAAAAGGGTGTAACTTTTAGTTAAGGAGAGAAGCAAGAAACAGCGTTCCAAACGCTGAAACGAGCTTTGTGCAGTGCACCGATCTTGTCTCTACCCGAAGGGACAGAGGTAGGGGTGGCAATTTATGACACGACACGACAAAAATACACGACACGAAACGAAATTGGGACGAAAATAAAATTTGAATTCGTGTTCGTGTCGTGTTCGTGTTAGTTGTAAAAAACACGATGTTGTTTCGTGTCGTGTTCGTGTTCAAAATTCGACACGAAAATGACACGATTTAGCAGTTCTTTATCGTGTTTGTCGTGTTTATCGTGTTATATTTGATAGAGTATTCATTAAATAAACTAGTTTTTAGTATATGTTATATTTGTCGTGTCGTGTCGTGTTTTTCGTTTTTAATTTGTTTGTTTTCGTATTAGTTAAAAAAACACGACATCGTGTCGTGTCGTGTTCGTATTACAAAAAACTTTGTTGTGTCGTGTCGTGTTAGACAGAAAAACGAAACGATAGCAAGATTTTCCACCCCTAGACAGAGGATTTCGTAGTGTACTGTGATGCTTCTAATCAAGGGCTTGGATGTGTTCTGATGCAAAGAGGAAAGCTCTTATCCTACGCCTCAAGACAGCTTAAGACGCATGAGGTCAACTATACAACATATGACCTTGAACTAGGAGCAATAGTATTTGCTCTGAAGATGTGGAGACATTATTTATATGGCACGAAATGCACAATATTCACGGACCATAAAAGTCTCCAGCATATCTTCAATCAGAAAGAGCTAAACATGGGATAACGAAGGTGGGTGGAGCTATTGAACGATTACGAATGTGAGATTCTTTATCACCCTGGTAAAGCAAACGTAGTAGCCAATGCCCTTAGCAGAAAAGAATACTCGGGACATCGAGTAAAGTCATTGATCATGAAAATCCATTCACGTCTGTCCACACAGATCAAAGAGGCTCAACCTAAGGCCTTAAAACCCGAAAACATGGCAGATGAAACCCCGAGAGGAATGGATAAGAATTTCGAAGTCATGGATGATGGAGTCTATTGTTTCATGAACCGAATATGGACACCAAAGTTTGGTGGTTACAGAGACGTGGTTATGAATGAAGCACACAAAAACCGATAATCCATTCAGCCAGGCTAAGACAAGATGTATCTGGACCTCAAGAAACTATACTAGTGGCCTAACATGAAGGCTGAAATCGCTACCTTTGTAGGCAAGTTCCTTACTTGTGCCAAAGTCAAGGTAGAGTACCAGAAACCTTCAGGTCTTTTCCAACAACCTGAAATCCCTGAATGGAAGTGGGAGCGGATTACAATCGATTTCATAACTAAGTTACCCAAGACATCGAGTGGGTATGATACTATTTGGGTAATCGTCCATAGATTAACCAAATCCGCACACTTTTTACCAATAAAAGAAACCGACAAGATGGAGAAGCTAACAAGAACTTACCTCAAGGAGATTGTTAGACTGCATGGTGTGCCAATATCTATTATTTCAGACCGAGATAGTAGATTCACATCTCGTTTCTAGCAGTCTTTACAAAACTCTCTGGGAACTAGGTTGGACATGAGTACAGCCTACCATCCACAAACTGACGGACAAAGTGAGAGGACGATTCAAACTTTAGAAGACATGTTGCGAGCTTGCGTGATAGACTTTGCAAAGGCATGGGATACTCATTTACCCCTTGTCGAATTTTCTTACAATAACAGTTATCACACTAGCATAAAGGCTGCTCCATTCGAAGCCCTCTAAGGCCGCAAGTACAGATCACCTCTGTGCTGGGCTGAGGTGGGTGACACACAACTAGCTAGAGGTCAAACTCCTGACAGTGCTCTCACTAGTCCGGAAATTATTCGAGAAACTACAGAGAAAATCGTACAAATTCGGGAGCGACTTAAAGCTTCCAGAGATAGACAGAAAAGCTACACTGAACAAAGGAGAAAACCCTTGGCGTTCCAGGTTGGTAATCGCGTCTTGTTAAAGGTCTCACCTTGGAAGGGCATGATACGCTTTGGAAAGCGTGACAAACTGAATCCAAGGTACATAGGACCATTCGAGATTCTTGCCAAAATCGGTCATGTAGCTTACAGACTTCGATTACTCCAAAAACTAAGTAACATTCATCCTACCTTCCAAGTTTCGAACTTGAAAAAGTGTCTATCTGATGAGACTCTTGTGATCCCACTCGAGGAAATCGAGTTAAACGAGAGCCTCAACTTTGTGGAAGAACCCGTAGAGATTCTAGACAGGGAAGTTAAGAAAACCAAACAAAGTCGTATCCCGATAGTGAAGGTTCGCTGAAATGCAAAACGGGGACCTGAATTCACTTGGGAGCGGGAGGATCGAATGCAACAGAAATATCCACATCTTTTTCCCTAGTCTTTCTATAACGTTATAGTCCTAATTTCGTGATGAAATTCTCTCTAACGGGGGGATAATGTAACAACCTGTTGTTTTGACTTTATATAATAGTATATATATATATATATATATATATATATATATATATATATATATATATATATATATATAATAAAGAGAAAATTTTGTATACTATGTACATTTACATATTAACCCTCAAAATTGAAAAGTTAAACAAACTTGTTTGGGATGAACACAAAAAAATACCCTTTAATGACGCGCAAACCATGACAAACACTGTTTTACGATACGCAAAAGTGTGTGCCCTAAAAATAATGTCAGTTCTTCCAAAATGTGAAGGATTTAGGACGCGCATTTTTGCATGCCCTAAAAATTGTGTCAAAAAAAAACCACAGAGGGCACCTATCTTAAAAGGCGTATCGTGAAATCATGTCGCTTTATATTTTTTTAATGAAACGCGCATCTTCCTCAGCGGGAAAAGGAATTCCCAAAAAAATTAGAAAAATTAAAAACCCCGCCATGGCGATTTAGGGTTTCCGTCTCCATCTCTTGTTCACTTCCATCTCAACTTTCTCTTCCATCTACAATCTCTCTTTCCGGCGATGAAGGTTTCTCATGATTTTTTGTTGTACTTACAAGCCCTAGGTCCTGATGCGTGATGCGTGCGTATGGTGCACCTGATGCGTTCTTTGGATTTTTTAAGCAATAATGATATGGAACAGACGTCCCCTCTTCCACCGATCAAGCTTCAGAATGATTGTTATCCCTCCGCCTTCCCCTGCGAATACGCTCCCACCTCCCATAATGTTAAACTCCTGAAACGACATCCTTCTTCTAATCCTACCGACATTCCGACACCATGAAATTGGATCCCTAGATGCTCTTGTCATCGAAATAGCCAAATCAGAGATTCATCTCATCTTCTTCTTCTTATTCTTATTGCTGGAATCATTTCATTGCTTACGTGATCAACGATCTTTCCTCTGTACCTAAAGAAAAATTGATACCAATCTTTCTCTAAGATTTATTCTCCTTCTTGTAGTTCTAATGCAAATCCACCATTTTGGATTCCAATACATATTGTGATCCCTGAACGATCTACTGAGTCAACCGTATTCAATGTCATAGTAGGTACTCTGTGTAAAATTCTTTTAGTATCTTTAAACTATTCCTTGTGGTATATCTTTATTCTAAGTCATGAATTTTTTATGATTGAATAACTATGCCAGATTCTCCACGTGATTCAGTTCAATTTATTGAATGGTCACCTTCATGGGAGAATAACTATCTGGACTCAGCCTTCTAATGTAAGCTTTGCCTGCTTTACTTCTAGTATCTTCTTTCACTGTTTGTATACATCTTACCTCCTTCTTACCTTATTCTTTTGGGATTTTTTGTTTTTGTATGCAAGTAAGACTATTGTTTTAATGTTAGTTTTCCTTCACTGGAAAAAGTATTTGTAGAAAGTGACTCCTGGATTTGGGAATGGATTTCAAGCTACTCCAAACACTAGCACCACCAATGGGATCCCTCCTTCACTTACTCCACCTTCTTGGGATGGTTTTGCTTCATTGGATTCTTATTTGTTTAGCTGCCAGGAATACTTTGATTCAGAAAGTAAAAAAGGGAAGAAAATTACAGAACAAGATTATGACATGGTTGCCCTTCATTGTTCTCCCGTTTCAAATTTTTCTGCATATGTGAGTCCTAAAGCTTCAGCGCAATTAGCAGCAACAACTACATGGTGTTCTGGAGTTACTACAGTTGCCTTTGACCCTACCTGTGGTGGCTCTGTCATTGCTATTGTAATTGTTGAAGGCACTTAACCTTTCAACCTTCCAACCTTCTCCATTTGTGAAACATACATTTACTTGTTAACTGTTGACATTGTTTATGTAGGTCAATATATGTCTCCTTATGACCCAGATGAAGGTCCTTTAATTACTGGATGGAGAGTTTAAAGATGGGAATCCTCTTTAGAGCCTGTTGTTCTACATCCGATATTTGGGAATCCTACATCAACTTTTGGTGGAAAACCTCCTATGCAGATAGTTTGAGTCACAAAAGTGAACTGATTACTTTAAAAACAATCCAACACCTACACCAGGATCGACTTTTGAGGGTATAAACATGTCAAATTCTGACATAGAGAAGGCAAAAAGGGTTGTTTTTGATCCTTTTGATTTGCCAAGTGATGTTTTTGATCCTTGTAATCCAAAAAAACTTTAGGCCTAAAACATTAGCTAGTGCAGGGCAGTTTTGTCATTTCAAGAACATGTGTTGATGTTGTGGTTGTTATGTTGTTACTCAGTTTCACTGAACAATGTGATTGCGGTTCTGGATGCGAATTTTTATTCTCTTCCTTCCACTCAGAACAGACAACAATATGGCCCTGTATGTTTGTTTACGCTATTTCTCTAATTTATGGATGGTTCTTTTTCTGTTGGATTTACTTAAAAAATAAAAAAAAATGCAGGGATTAGACAGGATAAAATGCAGGCTATTAGAAGGAACAAATGCTCAAGAGGTGAGAGCAATGGTGCTGGATATGCAAGCGCGATTATTAATTGATATGTTGGGGAAAGGAATAGAATCGGCTCTGATTAATCCTTCAGCTCTAGTTGACCATGAAGCAATGGTTGTTGACCTTGCACTTGTATTAACCATCCATGTTGGCAGTTGTCACTGAACTGAATCACAATTTTATTGATGATATTTTTAGTTGTTTGGTAATTTTAAGGATGAAATGACAAATATGTAGGCATATGTTGATGATGTAACTGCATGGACAAGTGACACTCCTACTGGCACTCCTGCCCGTGGAGCTTCACATGGTTACTTTTTACTTTTTACTACACTTGTTATTTATTGTTATATGCAAGAAACAACAACATACTTTCTTTTACACGTGGATTATAGCATCCTATTTCATCTCTTTCTATTAAATCCTTGTACTTTGTTGTGTTTAGCCCTAGAATTAGTTATTTATACTATGGAAAATGGTGAGATATTCATTTACTTTGTTTCATTTTTCAGCTGCTCAAAATGGCAGTGCAAGTTCTACAACAAGCACTCCAATCCAAGCTTGGGTACAAGGAGCCATTGCTAAGATCAGAAACACATCTGATGGTGCTCCTAACAGTAACAGCAATAGCAACAGCAACAACAACACTAACACTAACACGACTCCTAATCCCATAACTGGTCCACCTTCCTTTATGCTAGATATAAACACTGAACTTTCCCTGGGATGCCAGCCGTCAATAACATAAAACCGAAAATTGATGGTGAAGCTTATGAAATTGAAGATGCTTCCAGTTTCCACATGGTTCTTGTTCAGATCCCCATGCTAAATGTTCTTGCACCAAAACATTGCAGCCCAACCACATTGAGTACCAAGGATCTAGTATCCTCTTTCTTTGAGTTGTATTTGGTTTGGTGACATGTTGTAAACATCATAAGGCAGAATGAATTTCTTTCTTGTTATCTAAATCAATATCTTTGACCAAATTTCTTTCAATACAAAGAGTGAAAGAAAAATTTTCCTAAGACAGCAGTAAATAATTTCTGCATTTGGTGTGCTGCTTGTAGGTTGATGTTGATGATGATGTAATTTTAATGCTGCCTGCATTTGTTGTGCTGCCTACAGGTTGTTACTGGATGATCTTTTATTTAGTAGGTGCTGGATATTCGATTTCTTATTGTCAAGTTTGTTCAGTAAGAAGAGTAAACCACAAGCTTCTGGGGCCAATTCAGTTGCTGAGACCTTTTCTGAATTCAAACACATTCTTCTTCCAATAATAGATAGGAATCCTTATCTCTCTTAAGGAACTAGATTTTTATGATTTGGCATTTAGAGGCACCTTTTGGGATTGAGAAAGATGGGCCTTCTTGAGTTGATCTATTATAATGTTAGAAAGGGTTAGAATTTAGAAGAATGAAATAAATTTATATGAATGTTTGATTTTATAAAAAAAAATATGAATGTTTTAACTTTGTTGTTTTTCTCTCAATTACATTTGTCTATTATTGGAATGATTATTTGTATGACATTAACTTTTGGGCAATGGATTGTATTTTTTGTATATGGTATTTTATTTCTATTATGAGACATGAAATGAAAATTTAATTTGAAAATTAGTAAATCTATAAATAATTTAAAAAAAAAAATTAAAATTACGATACGCAAAAATGTGTGTCATCTTCATTTATGACATGGCCTTTCTTGACAACGGTTTTAATGATACGCATTGTGTGTCATAAATGCACGTAGTAAATGCGCGTCGTCTATAACTGATGGGTTCCCACTGGAACAAAAATCACTCGGTACTCCACTCGCTATCTCACAACTCGAGTCTCAACATGACAAAAAAGAAATTAGGACATCATATTCGGGTACCTCGGTGCACCATCACAACATCTCACGATGTCTTGCCTCAACCACTGATCTTCCACTCAAGCAAATCGAAACCTCAAAATACGACCATCTCAGAAATTGAAACACGGAGGAATCGTCAATGACTGAAAACACATTGACGAAAATCCGAAGCTCCATCCTCTACCGATCACCACCCATACGAAACTACTCATACCGACTCTGAAATTGGTTGACAAATCAACTGCTGCCCCTCCTGGAGTACATATCACAGTCTATACATATACCCACAATTCTCAGTTATTGCACCCTGAACTCAGCGACCCAACCGCCTCGAAGTCAACATTTGCAAACCCGAAAAATCCCTAGCCATAATAAATTCTCTGACCAACGGCCACCTGCCGTGGATTCACTCATCCTTTCTTACGCACACACACACACACACATACATCATCTCGCCTTGAACCTTGCCTAATCCACCAATAACCCAGGTCTCATGTGTCTGCACCGCAGATTTCCATAACCAGTTCTCTAAGGACACTTGAACGGATCACTGATCCTCTTAATATAATACCCAGTTTCTCCCCCACTCAGGGTTCGAACTATCACCAATTGGTATACCCACAATCTACTCCATAGACTGTTTCACCAGGTACATCACACTTGGCTGTTGGAACGTACCACGTAATCACTTCAATGATCTTCCCGATGGAAACCAAGCAACTCCAAATACCCCGTAACTCAGACAAAAATCTCAGAATCTTCCCAACGTGACTGCCTCTAGTCATCTCCAAGCCTCAGACCAACACACCGCCGGATACCCCAACTGTTCCGAGTTAGTCCTTACTCTCAATCTGGAAATAATGCACTATCACACACCTCGTCTCTGATTCCTCGACCAGCCTCCCATCGCGGGAATCATCATAAAATCAAGAGACCTCACTCTCACAGTCGATACAAAACGTAGATAACAAGGACCACCGCCCCGATGTACTCCTCTTAATCACCTGGAATTGCTGCTAAAAGTATGCCTCCCTCAATTCGGCACCTCCTTATTTTCTTGCATCATAGTCTCACTAATGACTCTCTCATTGTATATAAATACCTTGCAGCAAACATACTGCCCAAATACTCTGGTGAAAAGGTTGCAACCATATGCTACCCTACGGGGTTTACCTCCAACTTTGAAACCAGAAGCTCTTTATCTCTTTTGCTTCTCCCGGGAAACAGGAACAACGCAACTCTTGTCACAGAAAGTGACATCTCAACTATCGGCCGATTGCTCAACTCAGACCGCAATCCTCCATAGGATCATCTCTACTCATCCCTGAGTCTTGTGACTCCGACTGGCATCTCACCAATAAAATCTCTCGGAAACTAACTCAATTTCCCTCGCAAGGTATGCTCCATCGAAACTCGTTCCACATGGCCATCTGGCCCCACACTCTATCATATCCGATCAGTCTAAACAATCACATCGGGATAACGGGTAAAGTCAGAAGCACTATCCGCTACAAATCATGGTACTCGAACAATGTTAGTATCTCTCAATCTGCTACTTAGAACCTCAGGATTTTTCCATGTTTTGAGTATGGGTCCTTTGCTTTCAATAGTACGGGCCCATACTACATGCCACATCTACCCATACTTTCCACACGGACTGTCCCAGATTTCCTAAGTAGCTGGTCAACCTTCTCGATCACAAATCCCGGTATACTTGGTCGCTACTATGACAACTGTCAATTTTTTGGTCAAGCAAAAGTCAAACAAAGTCAACAAGTCAAACCGGTCAACTCATCTAACCCTTTTGTATTTAGGTTTACATTATGTTCACTATTGTACGATTACCTATCTTAATACAAAGTATCACCTAGAAATTCCATGTGTTCAGGAAATCTAAGCCCTAATAAAGGTAAGTGATGTACCGACTCGATAAAACACTATTAAATGCCTTTCGGGGGCGTATAATACTCATAATGAGGCATAATATGGTTTACAAACCTTGCATTAAGAGGCTAAACACTAACAAGGTCGCAAACAAAGTCTCTCTCAATCTCTCTCTCTCTCTCTCTCTCCCAAATATCTCTCAAAATCTCTTTTAACTTTTTATAAACACTCGGGGCATCCCGACCCTTAACTTAGTCAAAAACCACTTGAAACAGGAAGATTATTTGAAAAACAGCCCTATAGGGCCGAACCCTCTTATAGGACCGAACCCTCTTAGAGTCGAACCCTCTTAGAGCCGAACCCTCTTAGAGCCGAACCTCCCTTAGAACCGAACCCCTCTTTAAGCCTGAACCCCCCCCCCTTCGGTCCAGTTTACCTTTGGTCCGAAGAACCACTTTCGGTCCAGGTTGCTCTCGGTTTCCAGCTTCTCGGTTCATCTCGCTTCGGTTCTACCAGCCGGAGTTCCACTCGTACGACAAGTCGAATTCCGAATCGACCTAATTC